TGTCGTGAGTCGATCAGCGAGTGCTCTAGCATTTGGACGCTCGTCTACTCCGACAGCGGCCTCTCTGGAGGTTCAGGCATCGTTAGCGGACACCTGCTCGCCACCACTGATGGTTCAGCTCAGCTTCGCGGATGCGGAGGCGACAGGGGATGGTGATGATCGGCAGCCGGACGACGACAATGTTTCTCCTTCAGCCCTCGTCAGGGAGTTTGCTAGGCGCGTCTCCGCCCCGTTGAAGACTCCAATCCTCAAGGCGCCACCCCGACGTCGAACCCGTCACTCTCCATCGTCGGTCACCATCCGCCGTAGCACGCGTATGGCGGCAAAGTGTGCCTCTCGGGCCCCTAACGCTACCCTTCAAGCGTAGAAGGTGCTTGTGTCCAAGTGAGAGCCCACCGCCTCACAGCCGTCGGATATCCAGGTAGTGGCATACTTCCAGCAGGCATTCCAAGGCCCGCTCGACTCCGCTAAAAGGGATGCACTTCGAGCGCTTATGAAGTTCGACGTGGCGGGGTTCGAGTGTATGTTCGAGGAGGCTTGCTAATCTCATTGGCACCTGCCCAATTGGTTATTCAACTTTCATGTAATGTAATAAGTTAGGTTTAGGTTTTATCCTTTTGGATCTATGGATTGTTGGCTTCATCAAACTAAACTTCACATTTAATGAAATCGGTAAGGTACCTATAGATTACTTGAGGAGTTTTATAATCTTGTTTAGATTGTAAGTTTTAAACTCGCATTTTATTTAATGAGTAATAAATATAGTAAAAATAACTAATTACACAAAATGTTGTAAATTAAAAGAGAGAGCATGCAGCATCCAGTAATCTAGAGAACACAGCCCGCTTGATTTCGTGATGCACGCAACGCAGCAAGTACTCCTGCTGCTCTGGAGATGCGTGACCCGTGCCATGATGTCCCATCAAAATCTTCTGCAGCCACCTCGTGATCTACTGGCGCTCGCTGTGGCCTGTGTGGGTGTGGCGCCGAGAACACGATGATGGGCGCAATATGCAGCGTCACCTGCCCGCCTCAGGTCAAAGATACTGCAGCTAAGCATGCTTCCATGGATTTGCATTGGGTCGTCTGCGTGTAACCTTCATCGGTAAAAAAACGAAGCTTACGCTGATACGTTGGAGGAGAAAAATATCGTTGGTTCGTTAAAAAATATTGCTAAAATAGTGCTACAAAACAGGACGACGCACCGTGCAATTCACACTTTCACAGAATGGTACCGAACTGGTGTACCGCGTACGAACTACTGTACTCCAGATCACGAGAGCGAGTTGCAAGTGGACGGCTAGGATTGAATCAAGTGGAGAGGTAGATGACAAACGGAAAGCCAAGCTCGAGAGATGGCACACCAACACAGGCGCGTCAGGTCCACTCGTCAGGCTTGTCCATGGCCTACGTAAAGTGTTATCTAGTACTCCCCCGCGTGCCGCGTCATGATTAATAAGAAGAAAAAATTGATTTCTAAAAATTTCATGACAGATTACCAAACGGAAGAAAAAAGAACTTGTTGCCCCTCATTAAGCTGTCAGATCTTATTTGCTAGCCAGTTGACTAGTGGTCATTTTGTGTACTAGTATCGAAGAGTAAAATAATAAATGTTGTTGCATCTTTAATTGTCCCAAATTAACTTGGAGATTCGTGGAATTACATAGAATACACGAAAACAAATGTGACGTTGTTAATACACGTCTAGAGTTCGAAGGAGGAATTGAAGAGGATAATGATAATGAATGATCACATAAGAATTGATTTAATGTGGGACAAAGTTTTGGACTAGAAACTGATTTAATGAGGGATATACTAAGACTGATTTAAAGAGGGACGGGTGTACTTACTCCGTTCCGCAAAGAGTGTTATTCTCATTTTTAAAAAGTCAAATATTTTTAACTTTAACTAAATATATTTAAGAGATTACTAGATATATGCTCTTGTGTTATGTGGGAGAGGTAATGTTTTTTTAAAATTTGTTAACTAATAACCGGTTGTTTTGCGTCCAGGTAGCAACCGGTTTTTTGACCGTAGGATTCGTACGGTTCGCTGCCTCCTGCCGCCCGATTAGCTTGCGTACGGTTGGTTGGTTGGTGACTTCGTACGTTTGGTTGGTGACTTCGTACGGTTGCTCGTTTGTCGCCGATCGCCCAGAGTCCGTCGTTCGCGCGCGTCGATGCCGGTGTCCCCGTCAACGTCGTGCGGAGGGAGTCCAAGACCTTTCTTCCACGAGGATTAGGAGGGTCTGCTTGAACACCTAATCAGGATTAAAGAAAGAAGATGTGTCGATCTACTGATTTGATAACGTGACCTAAAGAAAAATCATATAACGTATCAAGGATACGCGATGACCTACCTGAACATGTACAGGGTAGCAGCAGCTCGTCGCCACCAGGATCAGTGTCTTGTGTTGGTGACGCACGCGCGATGTCGCCGCCAGGAGCCCAGAACGCGACGATCTTCTATTGACGCGAAGGAGCACAGCCGCCGCAAGGACGTTGCTGCGGACGACTCCAAAGGAATAGATCATAGAAAATTTCAATCGGCAGGTGGAATAGGTCCATGGTAGTCGGTGACATGGCAATTTTTTAATATACAAGATGAGAAATAGCAAGTCTATTGAAAAACTCTTCTTTTTTTAGAACATCTATATTTTACAAAAGAGTTAACTATATAATTTGGCTATTTATTTTACCACATCGGTTGGAGATGCTCTTACCTGTGTGCCATTATAAAAGTTGGTAACTACCTATAAATCATTAAAAAAGTTGAGTTTTCACATGTGCCACTGTTCTGAACTCTTTTGCCCTCCACGTCACTTCCATTTGATTTGGCTCTAACGGTGTCAAACCGCGGTTGTGAAAAGTCCAAAATACCCTCACATCTGAATATGCAATTATTTTTTTGGACATCTTAATGACCTCAAATGAAAAAAAAACTCAAAACTAGAAAGTTGTAGATCTCGTCGAGATCTACAATATTATTATAAAAATATCTTCATGTGATTCCGCACAAAAATATGATTTTTCTAAGACATTAATAATATCAAATCATATTTTTTTTACGGAATCAAATGAATATAATTTTTTATAAAACTTTCTAGTTTTGAGTTTTTTCATTTGAGGTCATTAAGATGCCCCTAAAAATTAATTGCATATTTAGACCTGAGGGTATTTTGGACTTTTCACACCGCGGTTGGACACTGTTAAAGCCAAATCTGACGGAAGTGGCGTGGAGGCAAAAGAGTTCAGAGCAGTGGCACATGTGATAACTCAACTTTTTTAATGGCTTATGGGTAATTACCAATTTTTATAATGGCACATAAGTAAAAGCCTCTTCTTCCATTTGTAAATTTGTAAGTTTGTGAATAATTTGATGATATTTGTGAACAATTTAATATATTTTCTCTAGTATCTGAAATCCATAGAAAAAATTTGTAACTTTTTTTTTGAAAATTTAGCATATATTTGTCTGAGATCATATGTTATCCTCAAATTACATCACTCTATTCAATAAATTACACTGAAGAAATCATTGTAAATATAGTAATAAGGTGGTGTAAATATAACTATAAGACAATGCAAGTGCATGAAAAAAATTTAGTTGTTGGGAGATGCTAAAACAACCAGTTGTTGGCTAGATATATTCTTTTTTTTTACTAAACCTCAGTATTTTGGGCATAGACGTGTGAGCTATGAGGATTTTGTACCGGATGCAGGCACGTGGACCTGATCTTTGTATTGAAACCGGATAGGACACAGACACGTGATCTTGAAGTGAAGGATGATTCGTATCGAACATGGACGCATGAGTAGGGATCGAGATTTGACACTGAGTAGATTTGGTATAATAACAGATTTGATCGGTATGTAATGACATTTAGGCCCCGTTTGGCAGGGCTTCACTTCACTAGTGAAGCTATTTTTTTGCTTCAGCTCCACGAACAGTTCCACCGGTGGAGCTGAAGCGGTTTTGGTAAACCGTTTGACAAAATGGCTTCCCTGTGAGAGTATGTTTTTAGGGGTATGGAGGAGAAGCCGGGAGAAGCCACTTTTTTTTTTGGCTCCATCCCACCCTAAATCATTGTGAAAGCATGTTTTTAGGGGCTTCACTAGTGAAGCTATTTTACTTTACTCCGTTTGACAGAAAATAGCTCCAAACGACTCCGGAAGCTGATGGAGAAGCCCTGCCAATCATAGCCTTATTTTTTGAAAAGAGGGAGATACGCCTGGTAGAGTCGAGTTAAAGAAACGCCTCATTGCTTGCTCGTGGAGTTGCTGCATGCAGGAACACTACTGCTCCCTCCGTTTTTTTGCTGAGCGTAGTTTGCATGGAGCCATGCAGGAGAGGGCTGCGGATACGCGCGTAGCGCTAATGAGTACGAAGCGGCATAGGAGTCTAGCGCAGAAACGAGAAGTCCAAAGACCGTGACACGGAGGAGATGCGGACGTACACATACACGTACACAGAGAGCAGGCGCGCACACGAAGGAGTTGGACGAAACCTGTCCAGATTTTTTAGGTGGCAGTAGATTGATATCTATGATGTATAGTAAATATTGTTAGATTATCCTTGAATACATTTTATAATAGATTTATTTAGAGATACAAATGTTGCTAATAATTTCTATAATATATGATTTTTTTTTTTTGCGGAGGGAGTATACACCCTACAAGATGGTCAAATTAAATCCCGTATACTCTACGGGTGGCCCCATTGGTCCTGTTCGCTTCTCTGAAAAAAATAAATCAAAATACTGTTCTAACTGATTAGCTGTAAGAAAAAACACGATTTCAACTGAAAAAACAAATTGAAAAATACAGACCTACGAGACAAGCAAACAGAGCCAATATCATCACTTGCCTTCCCCAGTTCCCCTTCCTCTCGCTATAAAGCAGCAGCAGCACCCAAGAGGAGACACAGACGAATCTTGGCATTGCCACAGCCGCGCGCCGCGCCCGCAACTAATAGCACTCCTTGGCTTCCTCCTAGCTCCCATGGCGACCAAGCCCTACTTCCTCTGGGGGGACACGCACGCCACCTCCCTCGCGGCCTTCGACTCCGGCGTCGGCATCTTCAAGTCGAGCGCTCTGGAGACGGCGGCGGCGCCGGCCGCTGCGACAGCCGCGACGGACTCGGCGCTGGTCTCGCCGGAGCTCGGCGTCGCGGCGGTGGCGAGGCCGCGTCAGCGCCGGGACTCCTCCGGGTCCGGGAAGAAGAAGCAGCAGCATCAGGAGGCGGGCGGTGGTGTCGTCGGGGCCAAGAAGCCGCCGCAGCGCGGGCTCGGCGTGGCGGAGCTCGAGCGCCTCCGTTGCGGGGGCGACCCGCTGCTCGAGCTCTCCGCCGTGGTCGGGGACGCTGCCGCCGGCGCGCAGGGACAGGGCCACCCGCTGCTCCACTATCATCACCACCACCGCCACCTGCAGATGCCGGCCGCCTCGGCGTTCGAAGCAGCCGCAGGCGGGCGCTACTGCTCGCAGCTGCTGGCCCCGGCGCCTCCGCCGCCGCCACCGGGCCCAGTCTGCGTCCTCCACCCGCCCGCGGCGGCCGGCTGCCAGAGAGCGCCGCCCGTGGCGCCGGAGCAGCAGTACTTCAGGGACCAGTGGAGCCGCATGGGGGGCTTCTCCACGGCGGGCGGTGGCGCTGACCACCAGTCCCAGTCCCAGCTGCTGCCGGCGACACTGGCGCCAGAGCACCCTTCAAGCCAAAACACCATCTGGCGTCCTGCTGTGTCCTCCTCCTCCTGCCTCCACACCGGCCACCGCTGCGACATCTGCTCCAGGGTAAAGCCACCAACCTTTCTCAATTCCCTACTACATGATCGTGTTCTTGGCAAGTAGTACGTACTAATCTTGTCTCCCTTGTTGCTATTGCATCTGCATTTCTTGACGTACGCTTCCAAAGAGGATGAGAGCCTTGGCAGAGAATGGAGGAGCACTGGCACCGACGCCTTCAGACACAGCCATGGCCACCGCTCGCCAGGTACTTGTCAATAAGAGTGCTCGTCGTGTCCCCTCATCTGCTCGTTCGCACTCGATCAAAGTCACAAATGCTGCGATGCACGCACTGCGCAGGGAGACGCGTTCTTGGCGAGGGAGAGGAAGCAAGGACCGGCGGAGGCCGAGGCGCCCGCGAAGAAGGATGTGAGGGAGATCGAGTTCTTCCCGGCGGCGAGCGCGCACCACACCAGCGGGGGCGGCCGAGTCTTCGTCCCCAACGAGTCGGAGCTCACGGCGCCCTTCTCCTCCACGTACGGCGGCGCCGCCAGCCACACCGCACCGCAGCTTGACCTGTCACTGAGGCTGTAGGGTTCGATCGATCGTTCATCGTTGTTCCTCTGCTCCGCATTGTAGGGTTTTAGCTTGTGTTGTTGCTTTATATCGGTCGTCATGTGTGTGCTATCTAGATCAATGGGTTTAATCTTGGAGTTTTGAATTTCATTAGGCACTTCGTACTTGTTGCTGTTCTTTTATACTTTGCTGAAATTTCACCGTATTTGTTATCAAGAGATCGATCAGAATCAGATAACTGCGTGCTGTGATGTTGCAATTCTGTATGATATCAGCTGGGGACACCTTTGCCTTGTTTGTTTGAGTTGCTCTCATTTTGTTTTTTTAGCGTGCCACTCCTAATTTGCTGTAGTCTACTAGGACTAGGACGAACTGGGAGTTAGATTTATTTTAAGCATCGGAAAACCATAGATATGTGGCTGTTCAGTGATTTTGCATTTAGCATTTATATATATGGCATGTAGATGTAATAGGGTTTAAGATGTCACTTACACTTTTGTGTCCAGTGAAAATGAAGTGGCCACAGCTTTGAGACTTGAGAGGAATAGTTTTGTCCAAAAAAATAAATAGAGCATTCTGTAATGCTTGTTCAGCATTTTATCCAAATAATCACGTATTTCAAGAACCCATATGCAACGTAATGTTTGTTGCTTGAATGCCTTTTTATCTCCACTTCCTTTTTGAATTCTGACAGACTTTATTTCCAAGAGAAGAGAAAGTAGACTTTGCTGAAAGAACTGAACTGCAAAAGGATCCATGCTTTTTTTTTTTGAACTGTAAAAGGATCCATGCTGACCTATATACACAATCCTTAGAACAATACGTGTCCTCGTTTAATTTGGCTGCAATTTTACTTTGAGATGAAAATGACACAAAAATGAAAAACAGGAGATCATGGTCTAAATGTCATCTTCCCAAGAAGCTGTGTTCAAGAGGTTACCATGGAGCGCTCCATAAACAGTTAATGGATACACATATCCACATAAAGCATTACGAAATTGGTTTTGGATAAGCCATTTTACATGTAAAATTTAAGTACTAACATGGAGGTATAACCCAATGTATTGTTCTTGTTGCTCCTATATATCACGAAAACCTGCATTTGTGTTGATATAAATAAATTCACAGCAGAAGCATTAGAACTATTATGTGAAACATGGGAAATATCACACACCATTACACTAATCCGATAGGAAGCAAAGCAAAAATTTTAGGTATGCCTTTGGCGTTTTGATTTATGTTTTTAGGCTATATACATATAGTACTCTCTCAGTCAAAAAAAATACAATTCTCGTTTTTCGAGAAGTCAAACGACCTGTACTTTGACCAAAATTATATAAAAAATACTAATATTTATAATATAAAATTATTATCATTAGTTAGTTACAAAATATATTTTCATAATAAATTTATTTAGAGAAATAAATGCTAATAATAATATTTACTATAAACTTGGTCAAACTTGATCAGCACGCATCTCATAATTACATTCTTTCGTGGACCGAGGGTATAGATCATAACGCAGCCACGTCCATTTGTTGGAAGTGGCTTTTGGGATTGGAAATTAAACTCCAATAACCGACAAAATAGATGGATTAATCGGAGACCAAGCCGGCCGGCCGTCGGGCCGTGCAGCGAAGGCCAGGCCAAGGCTGCGGCCGCTGTTACATCTGCTGCGTGCGGCGTGCAGCATGCAGGTTGGACGCCGTGCCGGGGACCAGATACAGAGAAAGCATCCGAATCGATCGACCGGCTAGCTAGCCCCTGCAGGGGGCAGGCGGTGCACGGCAAGGAAATCTACAGCCTATCTACACTTGCTAGGCTTGCTCGACGAGTGGAGAGTGGAGACCATGGCGGTGGATCGGCCGGACGTGCGAATCCGCGCAGCACACGGGTGTTCATGCATCAAATATTCACGCTCGACGCCCTCGTCGCCTCTCCAGTCTTGTCATCATGTCCCCTGCCATAGAGCCGTGACAATCTGACTCCAGTTCCATGTAGAGTACGTGTTGCTTGTATTGCGCTGGTACTGGACCGTACATCTCTGAGTCAACCAACCGTTCGCTCCCCTATGTCTCTCTACTGACATAGTGAGATCCCTCCTTTGCTCCTTGTGCTTTTGTACAGTCAATTTTTCTCACAGGCTCCGTTCGGCTTGCTGAAATTTAGCTGAATTGGTTGAAAACACTGCTCACCGAATTGTTGTGAGAGAAAAATACTGTTTCGGCTGAAAAAACAAGCTAAAAATATAGATTATAAGGTAAGCCTAATGGGACCATAGTGCTGCAAATGTAGTACTAGACGCCATGCCACGACCATGTCATTGCAGCACTTTTTTTTTTTAGCTGTTTTTTTACCATGAGATTTTAAGAATATGGATAAAAAAGTCTCAGAAAACCAACGAACAGACCACAGCCTGTTCGCTTGCTCGTATACGATCGTGGATTATAAATTGAAATAGTATTTTTCTCTCATATCAAACCAGCCAGCAGTAAATAATCCACGATCGTTTCCGGTGTGCCGAACAGGCTGTAGGGAGCTGAACTTGAGATACCGCCACGCGTGAGGTCAGGAGATAGCTAGTAGGGCCCATACGATCTCGAGTGTCAATGCCAGCAGCAGGTGGCGCGTGGGCCCCAAGCGGCAGGGCATCGATGACCGTCCCAGAGCCCCAGCACCCAGGTCCTCGCCCTGGCACTGCCAGAGTGCCAGGCCGCCACTCAAACCACTGCCAGTAGAAGCACACTGCACACTAGTAAGGATGAAAACGGGACGGTATACCGCATTAACTGATCGCATACTGTTTTTAAAAAAAAAATAGGACGAGAAAAAATACTGGAATTTACGGTGGAAACAGGAACGAAATCAGGGAATGGGTTTTCTCAACCGTATTCACGGTTCCCGTATTCGGCCGGAAATATTAGCGGCGGTATTCCCGTATTTTATACAACTATATCTCATATTCAGCCCACATCAACATGTAGCCCAGGAAACTCCTGCGCGGCCAGTGATGACGAAGTAGATGGGCCACATGCAGAGTGTTGTCTGCTGCTTATGATATGTTCATCAGTTAAGTATTGGCTGTTGGCAGCTGGACGTGTTTTTTTTTTTTAATTTGGACTTGTACTTATGAAGTTGTGAGTTATGATCTCTTGCTGTTGGCTCTTGTACTACGTCTCCGATCTAAACTGGCAGCTGGGCATATCGTCTCTGGGCAGTTGGCTTGGCTGTTGCCTTGCCTGGTGGCTGCCGGTCATTGATTTTCCTTCACTGAACTGTGAAGTCTCAAGTCTGGAAATGAAAGTTTGGGACCGGTAGATTGTCTCATTGTCTGTGTCTGGTTGTGCGTTGTGCGCTGTGCATGTGCCTGTGTGTGTGTGTGTGGTTGCCAGCCTTGCCTGTGATGTACTGTTGTGTGCTATGTACTGTGAGACTATGAATCTATGATCTTAATATCTTATGAACTTATCTGTGTATTGTTCATTTGTTTGAATATGGATTATGCATTGTTGCAATTGTTGCGTCGAGCTAACTGTTTTAAGTGGTTACATGTATCGATGTTCCCGTTTTGTGTTATCGATTCCCGATCGTAATCCACATGTTCCCGATCGAAATATTCCGTTCCCAATATCCTGTAATATCGAATTCATTTTCCTGTCTAACTTTTCCGTTCCCGTTACCGTTCTCAACCAAAAAATACAGAAGCGGAAATGGTTAAAGTGTTTTTCTAACCGTTCCCGACCGCTTTCATGCCTAATAGCGTTTTTAGCCCCCGTTCGGCCGGCCGGGTTCCACGATGAGCTCTCGCGCCCAGCATCTCTCTGCGTCTCGATCCCGTCTGGCTCCCCGTCCCCGGACCCGGGACCCTGGTGCATGCAGAGTGCAGACGAAAGCTGGAGAATACAACAAACCTGTCTGTGATAGCTAGCTCGCCGACCGCTGTTACACACAAATAGAGTGAATGGTTTGGGTTAATAATCAGTCCTCTAGATGAAACGATGCATCATGATCCACTCTAGACAAAATGGTGCATCATAAATCTATTCTTCAAATTTAATGAAATGACTCTATTTCTCGTACTACTACTACTACTGATTATTTAGCTCCCACAAACCATAGAGTAACTCATTCGTCAAACCCAAACAGCATGTGCGTGTCACCCTTGTGGCTGGCCACGGTGCCACTCGTTTTGCCTGTCACCGAGTTCTGGAATCCCTCATCAATCCATTAGCCTGTATAGTCACCAAAAACTGAACTGGTGGGGCAGCGAGCTATAAGCAGGAACACCAGTACAAGCAAAAGAACACGGCGGCCCATGTACGCAGAAACATTGTCTTCGATTTACCAACACACATGTCATGAAGCAAAACAGCGGGGACTCGTCCATGATCTACAGATTCTGGTACAAACGCAGAGTTGCAGAGCCGAGTGGCCACGGAAGAGGACACTCGTGTTACACTAGGGCTTGCTGACACAACGTGAAGGCCTCTGCTTTCTCCCTCTCGTCGCCTAGCCCCTCTCCACTTCCCTCATTTTTCTGCAACAGATGAGGAAAACATCAAGGCATGTCTAAGCATATATGCAAGATAGTAAACAACTTGTTGATCAAAGAGGCAAAATGCTGCCAATAGCTTAACAAACAAAAGCAGGGAAACAAGAAACATGAGCTGAAAATACTTCACATGGAATGTTAAGGAGCAGTTTTGAACTGACAAAAATATAGCATGCTCTAGCGGGATGCATAATATGATGATGATTTGCATTCTTGGAGCAAGTTGTTTTCTAGATACAGGTCCTTTATTCCTATCTAGGCTTTCTTCTGGAACATAGCCAAAGCATGCTCTGCCCAATGCGGATAGGGTTTTTAAGTTTGAACTTGGAGAGGGAGGGAGAGAGAGAACTTTGAGGTCTGATTTATACATGTGAAAAACAGCACTCAGGTTAGTCAAGTCAGCAGTTTCACTTTCACATGCAGACTAGAGAATGAGGTGCCCCATGTAGATATTTTCATGCTCATG